CTATGCTATTGGTGTACGTAAACGCTATCAACTGTTTGGCAAACTTAGCCAAAAACGTGTCCATCGTTTGGACGCTGATGTCTGTGTGAGACCTCATGTGAAGTGCATTCAAATGATTGCAATTCACAATAACTGAGTCCAGTATTAAGTGATTAATATACGGCCACTGATCGGGAAATTCAATTCGTGTCACGTGTTGGCATGCATTGAGGATTACTTCATAGGATCTGCGCCTAAGACTTGTGTCAAATATCATGTCTTTATGTGTCGTGAATACGAATCTCTGCCACTGTCTGGACACACATTCCGCGCGGAACCGGTCTTCGAGTGCCAAATAAGACAGTAAGTGTTGACACAAATCATCGCCGAAGCGGTCGAAAGAGTCTTTGCGATTGACTTCACATTCATTTGATTCACTCGTGACTTGACTTTTGCTGCGAGTCTTGGCATCACTTCTTGTGTCCAACAATTGTCTCCGTTTTGTATGACTTCTTAAACCTCTTGTCTCCATATTATACGACATGACGTGCCACTCACGTGTTTGATCACTACTTGAGGCCATGGCTTTCACACCTGCAGTCAAGACATCAAAACCGATGATTCAAACAACGAAAACAATTGAATTGATTTCAAGAAATACTCACAATTTGTGGCAAAATGTGTGCAAATGAGTGACAAATACAATGAAAAGTAGTTTTGTTTTTGTAAACAAAATCCATTGCCTGTGAAGTGCTGTCAATACATGACGTGATTCACGCGTTCACGTCATACACACGCCTATTGGCACTGCTTTCTGGCAATGGTTTGCCGCAATCATTGAAACTCAATACAGTTTTGTCGCTATTATTGCGTTACGTTTCCATTAATCACTCAATAATTAGTTATTTTATAATTATTTCTAATTATTTTTCATAACAAAAATACTATTAATACTGAAAGTGACTGACATTTCTATGAATATTGTATACATTTAAGTGTTTTCGTAATGTTTATGCCGGCAATCATATCAATCATATCTCTGTGATTATGTCTTTTGAAACGAGTTGTCAATAGTTTGTGTCATTTGTTCACAACTCATATGAATTGTGGTTCAAAATGAGTGCCATTTATAGGCCATTATCGGGCGATAGGAGGCGACGAATAGGTCTGCGAAGTGGAACCGCTGAGAGACAATCGTTTTCAAGGTTTGGCGACGACTTGACACGACTGGTGTTGTCTTACCTGTGCTTAGAGGACAAGTTTCGGTGTGAATGCGTGTGCAGTGATTGGCGGCGACTGGTGTTCATCGGCCACAACGAGCTGACCATTGATGACAACTTCAACGCAAACTTTTCCCTCAAATATGCGTCCATTGAAGTGATTGCGAGAAAGTGTGCGAACATTACGCGCATTGAGTTCACCAAAGGATACGCTCTCTTAAGCGATGAGCTCTTGAGGCTATTTGTCAGACATTGCCATCACTTGAATGCCATTAGTATTGCTTACTATGAGCTGCACGAGAAGAGTTGGGATCAGTTGTTCGCGAAGTTTGCTAAGCAATTGAAATCCTTTGAATTAGTGGTGTATATAAGCGATACGGTCGACAAAGTGATTGACAGACACATCAAGTTTTGCACGAATTTAACGAAATTTCATATTAACTATAAGTATACTAAAGATCAAAGTCTTCGGCATGTGATCAGTGGTTCGCACAATACGAGTGAAGTCTTGTTTCGCAAAATACAAAGTTTTCGTTTCAATTACGGTAACGAAGACATCAATAGATTTGATGTATTTGTTGGATATTTTAGACTCACTTTGAAGTCAATTCACGTCTCCTTTGACACGGATTGCGATCAGAAGTCAGTCCTGAGTCTAATGAATGGTTTGTCACAATTGCGTGCATTAATTGATTT